GGAATTTAATACTTGTTGAGCAAAATTTGATCATTGTGAACTAAATCATGAAGATGGAAATGGAAGGAACGAAAAAGGGATTTGTTATGAATTTTGAAAGGGCATGAATTGAAATTTTTTGAAATCGTTGGGAATTTGAAATAATGGAATTAAATCATAGAAGTTATGTATCGTAGGATTGTTGATGAAATTTATGCTAAGGTGATGGAATTGAAACCATGAAACTAGCCTATGCCATAAATATTGATGATTGGGAATAATGAATTCAATTATGAGAATTTGAGATAACATATATGATAGTTGAGCTAATTCTAAACAATATTTTGATGATAGCAAATTATGAAAATGTTGTAAGAATTGTATTGTGTTATTTATGGGAATTGATGTGAACTAGGTTGAAATGAAACCGTATGTATTGTTGATTAATTTTGTGTAATCACGGTATTAAATGAGAATGATTGAAATGAAATGGAGAAGCTTGTGTTGTGAAATGTGAATATGCTATACAGAGGTAACGCGATCCTTCCAACTAATAACCAGTAAAACGAGCGGATGTATTATATAGAGGTAATGCATTCCTTCTAACTAGCAACCAATAACACAAGCAGATGTAGGGCTTGGTGAGACTATGATGGTAATGTGGAGCTTGACGAGGCCACGAGTTGTTTACTTGATTGTGTAATTTGATAGCCAATATACATATTTGTAGATATAATTATTGATGAATTTATGTATTGAGGATATAGTTGAAGTTGTGTTATGAGATGGGTATTGAGCTCGATAATAATGTGAGTATTTTTCAATGTAAATGAGTACATGAGAGTATAAGGGATTAAAAGTGGATTGATTTTGGAAATAAACAACATAATGAATTATTTTTTTATTATTATTATAAAAGATGTGTTGTAAGAATGCCCAATTGGTTAATGTGTGTTTGATATTCGAGATGTAATTTAGTTTTGGAAACCTTTTTGAATTGAATTGGTGACTTAAAAAGGTCAGAAAAGATAAGTTTTCTTGAAATATTAAAGAATGATTTTTTGACAAAATATATAATTATGTATGTATAATTGGGTATAAAAAGTCGCATTACATATATAATTATGACTTTTAGCATTCATGATCATAATTATTCATATATTGTTATTGTTTAGTATCATTGGGATTTCTACTGGACATTCGTATTCATCCCACGTTGATTATTTTTTTCAGACATGAAAGATTTGTGCAAGACTTAAAATATCGTAGATTGTTGGCCATGGGGGCATATTACTTAAGGCGGAAATGTCAATTTGTTGTAAAGAGGATCAAACCCTTCGATTTATTTTGTTTCGTTTTAAATTGTTTAATGTAACCCAAGGGCACTTGTAATTACTTGAATTGATCACCTCATCATTTTATATCTATATAAGAGTGAACCTTGATTATTTCATTTATTTTATTCTTGCTCATTATCGTAGAAACAGACTTAATTAAAGGGGTTTGGTAATATATTCGAGTAATAAAATTTGGGATGCTACAATTACCTTTCCTGAGGTTTGGGGGGGAAAAAAAATACAAATAGACTCACAATTTTAGCATAATTACATTGATTTTACTTTTTTTAAGGTTAAATGGATTGAAACTAAATGCAATCAGTTTAAAGACATGAGGATAAATAAGAATATATATATATATATATATAAGTGTAAAAGAGAAAGCATCATTTTTCCATCCATATGATTGATGAATTATTAATGAAAATGGGTTAAGTGTTATGTAAATTAAAATATTAAGGGAACCAACTGTAATTATACTAAAATTATAAAATTTAGGAAAATTTATCCATAAACCTCATATGGACGAATATTGATCCATTTAGTCCTAAGAGTTTTCTTATGAATCAATTAGTCCTTTTTGTTTTGAAAAGTTATATTTATTTAATTTGATATCATTGAGTTTAAGTGAATTCCGTTTTGTGATTCATTTTTCCAATTTTCTAATTCGTTTTCGGGATGGGAATGAAAATGTAAGGTGTGGAATGTGAGATTGGTGGCTGAAGTGTTGGTTGTCAAGCGTAGAAATCTACATTTTGGTTAGTGTGGTTTTCTAGTGTTACATTTGAGTGTTATGTTTGAAAAAAAAAAAAAAAAAAAAAAAAAAAACTTAATAAGTTTTTTTAGAATGTTACATTGTTACGTTTGAGAAAAAATAAACTAAGAAGTTTTTTAGTGTGTTACATTAAGGTGTTACGTTAGGAAAAAATACACTAAGGAGTTTTTGTGTATTTCATTGATTGGAGTGTTACGTTTAGGAAAAATATAGTAAAGAGTTTTTGTGTGTTACATTAATTGGAGTGTTACATTTGAGAAAAAAACACTAAAGAATTTTTTGGTGTGTTACATTTTTGAAATTTATATTAGAGTGTTTCGTTTGGAAAAAATACACTAAGAAGTTCTTTTGAAGTGCTACATTTAACAATTTCAGCATTATGAGAAAATCCACATTTGTCCCTCAAAATATAGCACACGCACGTTTATGTTTTGACCCTTTATATAGTTCATACTAGAATAAGACCTTTAGGTAAATAAATAAATAAAAACCAAATAGTTCATAAAATCACTATGTAAGATTTATTGGTATTTCACCCTAAAATTTATTATATTTTCTCAAAATTTAAAATAAAATCAGTGTAATTTACCCTAAATAATAATATAACAACATTTTGTAACAATCACCGCAACATGTATGTTTCTTATCAAAATAGGTCATATAATTTTTGACCATAAATGTTTCATAACTTTTTTACTATACCATTCACAACATAATCACTATGGCCAAGTTTGGCAAGTTGCCAAAAAGTCAAAAGTTAAAAAGTTACTCAAAAAGTTAAAAAGTTATCATTATTCACCAAAAGTCAAAAATTACGGCTGCACAACTCCCAATCCTAATTTTCCCCTATACACTAATTTATACAATTTTTTAATACACATTTTTCTATAAAAAAGTCAAAAAGTTAATCCAAACATTCATATTTTTTTCCTCAATTTTTTAGTTCAAAAAGACAAAAATTACACTTACTTAGGACACCCCAAACAACCCCTATGTCTATAAAATAATTTGGTTTGTAACATTTGCATCCAAAATTTAAAATTACATTATGAAACTGAGGAAATTCATCATGAAAATGAAAAATTAAGAAAGTGGTATGAAATTTAACCCAAATTTTTATAGTTTTGAGAATTGTGAAATTTCTCAATTTTGAGATTTTTTTGTCAAAATTTTTAAAATTGAGATTTTTTTTTTCCTAAAAAAAAAAGGAACAATTTTTATGTTTCACAAAACTAACAAATTTCTCAGTTCCAAAACTATGAAAATTCTTAAGTTTTATCAAAATTGATAAGTTCAGAAATTACATAAAAATATACAGGAAAATTACAAAAAATAAAAAAAATAAAAAAGATTTGACCTTTGTAACAAAATAGATATTGAAATTTTAATTTTGCCAATTTAAATTCTACACTTTTGATTTAGTCATTAAACTTAACGTAGGTGTACATAAAATGTCTGAAATACTATTTTTTATTGAGTTTAATGGCAAATACTTTTTTTCGTCAAAAATACTTCGCGAAAATAGATAGATGGTTTAGATTGAAAATAAATAAAAAAAATTAGGATTTAAATTGACAAAATTAAAAATTCAGGATTTATTTTGTTATATGACTCAAACCTTGAGTTTTTTTTTTTTTTTTTTTTTTTAATTTTCCCAGTCGCCAAAGGTGTATTTTGTTGTAGTGATTGCATTTCAGTGGAGTAATGAGAAAAAAAATTACACTTTTAGATAATGCAAGTATCCTTAGGGGTGTTAAAGAAAGAAAAAAAACCGATGGAACCAATAAACAAATTCAAATTGCCTGTTTGGTCTGGGTTTTTTTTATATTTTAATTACTGTTTTGGTTCTGAAAATGGTGGAATTGTTTAAATCAGTAAGGTTCTCGTTTTCAAGGATTTGGTTATGGTTTCGAACCGAACCGGACCGTGACATATTTGTTTATTATTTTTTGTACAAAAAAAATTAAAATATAAAAAATGTTTCTTATAAGATTTGAACATAGCCATTAATGTAAAATTAACAAGCCCTAACCAATTTAACCAAACTAATATTTATTAATTTGTTTACTAATATAAAATACATTTCATATTTATTGTTATATAAAATTTTTAAAATTGTAAATCGAATCGAACCAAACCAGTTTCTATGGTTCAGTTTTGGTCCGATTTCACAAGTTGACGGTTCGATTACGATTCTAATTTTTTTGGAACTGTAAAAAACGATTTGATTCTTGATTTACTCTAAAATTAGACCAATCCGATTTGTGTACACTTCTAAGTATACTGTGTGCATGATGCAAATTCATTCCCGTGTGTTATAGTTGCGCACAAAAAAAATCTATTTGTAGTGCAATTTTTTTCTCTTGCTCCATGTTTTTTTAATTTTTCTTTAAATATTTAATACAATAAGTCCCTCAAATGATGTTTTTGGCTCAAGAAGTCCATATTTTGACAAGGGAATATTTTTATAAACGATTTTACCCTCCTTTTAACTAGACTCTCTAAAAATCTCTCATTAGGCTACATTTGATTAGAAAAAAAATTAGTAGAAAATTTGTGAAAGAAAAGAAATAGCAATGAAAATATATTTTCTTATAAACATTTGATTAAGATGAAAATTTTGTAAGAAAAATATAGAAAAATTTAAAAATTTAGTTATAGATAACTCACACATTCAATTTTTCTTGTGTTTTCTTATATTTTTTTACAAGAAATTAAAAATTAATTACAACACTAATATGAGTTGTAAAAAAAAATTAATTTTCTTCCACTTTCCATGCAAAAATGCATATGCATTTTCTAAAAATAACACCAACAAACAAGGGGGAGAGAGGGAGAATTAGTTGTGTATCTTCCAAATGTAGCACAAACCAACCCTATAAATAGCCACCTCTACCACCACCTAGCACCACAACACAAGGCACCAGGCGGGATCGTGTAACTATTTTCTCTCACTCTTAGAGCTTTTTACATACCCGCCTTTTAATCGCCATGGAGATGAAGAAGATCGCCTGCGCAACCCTTGTTGCTGCCGCCTCCATGAGCGCAGCCTTGGCTGCCGGTTCTCCGGCTCCTGCACCAACCAGCGACGCAATCGCTGCCTTGCCCGTTGTCGGTTCTCTCATCGGGGCCTCAATTGTGTCCTTCTTTGCCTTCTACATGCACTAAGCTTACAAATGGAAAGATGATGATGGAGAAGAAAGGGAAGAGAGGCTTCTAAAGATCATTGAGTTTTAAAGATTTTCCCATATTTGTTTTATTTCTTTTGGGGATCTGTTCTCTTTCCTCATTTCTTTGAATGTAAGCCCATGTGTTTTTAATTCAATAAAAGAGCAAATTTAGTTATACTTACTCCCATGGTTTTAAATCGCGGTATCGGGTAACGTAACCGTATCGATCGCGGAGTATTGGTATCGGTATCGGTAGTATTGATCGGTATGTTAGGAAATCAGGTGTCACGGCGGTGAAATTTTAAAAATCATTTCACAGGTTTTTCAGTTTTTTCTTTCCCGTACCAGTCCAAACTGGTGAGTATCGGCCCGTCGCGACTTGTGTAACGGCTTGTGTAATAGTTACAGACCGATGCATACTAGGATTCGGCCGATTCTCTTGCAATTTTCAATCTCAACGATATATTGGTTTGGATCCGTCGCGATGTCCTATTTTTCCAATACATATCGATCAATACGTATCGTATCGACCAATTTTTAGAACTATGCTTACACCATCTTCTTGTGTTTATGACCATGGTTTTCTTCCTTCCTCTCTCTCTCTGTTTCGTTCTTTTTCTTTTATGCGAGTTTAGTTATGGTGAAAGAGATTGAAAATAGCTTGCGTTTAACATGAAATTAGTAAAAAGTGCAAGAAAATTAAATTTAATATATAAATCTTATTAGCGTGATAACTTGAATTAATGACAGGATGTAACAACTCTCTGTTTCCAGCGAATTCTTTTCGTATAATAAAAAATCTAACGAAGTAGAGTTGTAAATAATACTTGTAATTGTTCTTGCATCATCCATTGCCTTCGTCACATTTGTTTTTTGTTTCCAATGTTCTTCAACATAAAACCAATACAATGTGTTAGCGCATGTTGTCTAATATAAACGCGGCCTATTTTGCATAAATGTGGCGGTGATGGCAGTGACAGTAATGATGGTGGTGGAGGTGGCGTGGCGGAGGTGATGATGCATAACGAAATTTTAGTTTCGAAATTGTTTTTCGTTTTTCAAAAAGGGAAATTATTTTTTGTCCAAATAAATTTATTTTTTGTTGATCATAAAATATTTTCTGATGATTTTTATTTTTTGTTTTACTAAATGTTAAAAAATACAAATAACATTTTATTTTTTTTCATCCAAACAAACAAAGCATTATTAATTTGACGGCTTAACTTTTAATTTCTTTTATGAAGTACAAGGATTTTTTCTCGTTGAAGATCTCACATACTAATTTCTTTTAACATTGTTTCAAACATTTCATCTTAACCAACTGTATACAAGAAAATAAATATAAACATTAGATTCATTCTTCATCTTGGCAATTCCGATATATTATAACCATACCGGCCACAAAATCAATTTTCAATTGCTATAATAAAAATCAAAAAATATCTCTGCTGGTGAATTAGATGAGAAATAGTCAAGTTATGTAAGACCATCTTTATCAAAATAGTTATTTTTATTGTTTAGTTAAAATAATGAGTAAATTATTAAATTTCAATCCCATCAAACTAGTTACCAAGTTAGTCATTTTAGTTTAGTGGTTTTGGCTCAACAAATGTAGCTAGTAGTTTCACCAAACCAAACATTAAAAAAATATTCACTTTGCTTGGTTAGGGTTTTTCAAAACATTTTTCAAAAAATTTTACTAACATAAATATACCTAAAAAGTAAAAAAAATTGTGAAAAAAACCTTTTAAAAATTCACTAAATACCAAAAATATATATAAAAAAATACGAGCATTCAATGTATTTTTTTTTGTATTTTTATGTATTTATTAATTTTTTAAAATATTTTTTCACAATTTTTTTTTTTTTACTTTTTAGATACATCTAAAAAAGTAAAAAAAAATGTTTAAAATTTTAAAAATATTCATTAAAAATAAAAAAACACGAAAATAAAAAACACAATTTTCAAAAAACTTAATCCAAAAAACTCAAACCAAACACACTGATTACTTTTTATATTTTGAAAATTAATTTTGTTGAGTTTATAAAAAACAATTCTAAATGAAAATGAATAAAAATAATATTTAAACAATATAAAAAATGAATAAAGAGTTTGTTGGACAATGTATTTAAAAAGGGAAAAATTATTAAATATTTCTGGAGTATCACGTATTTGTACTTCCTAATCAATCATCATTCAATATATCCCTTCATGTTCTCCAATCACCCAACGGGAGAGGGGTGCCTGCTGTACAGCAGGCACTGCTGTGCGCCAAAAGGGCAAAAAGAAGAGAAAAAAAAAAAAATATATCTGAAACCCCTTGGTTTTGCATGCACGGCATAGCCTGCTGTGCTTAAAGCACAGCAGGCACCCCTTGTCCTCACCCAACACAATACCCCAACTATCCACTTCTCTACCAATCATAATTTTATAGAATATCACGTGTCCATACTCTGAAATTACTGAATAATTACTCTTAAAAAGGTGTATAGCCAAAATAGAAAAAATAACTTTTTAAGTCAAAAACAAAATTTAAACTAGTTATGCTGTGTTTGATTGGGGGATTTGGAGAGGGATTTGGAAAGGGAAAGGGAAAAGGTGTGTGAAACTATGTGAAATGTAAGTATATTTTTTTTACATTTCACCTATTTTTTCCATTTCCCTTTTCAAATCCCTCATCAAATCCTTCAACCAAACACAGCATTAGAGTAACAAGTTGAGCGATAAGTTTGGAGGGTGATTCATAAATTTATAAACTGTTGTAACAGTGATTACCAAATTAGTAGAAGATAAAGATAGAAATTATTTAGAAGATAGAACAAATATGTTCATTCATATAAACAATTTAATGACGCTGTGATGTATATATATATATATATATATATAATACTATAAAAAAAATAAGAATAAATTATGATGATAGTTCCTGTATTTTAGTCTTTACATCATTTTATTTTTTTGAGTTAATTTGGTTTAATTATATTTTGGTTCTTATGTCATTTTTTATCCCTGTATTTATTTTCTAATGTTTTAATCTTTCAAAAAGGTTTGGTAAAAAATTAATAATTTAGTATGCGATTTCTTTATTCTCTAATCTTGTAGACTTTCAAAACAGTTAATTGCAAGCTAAGAGTATTCGAAATCTATCATATTTTACTCTGTTAAAATAGTTTTTTCTGAAATTATTTCGACAACAAAATTTTATTAAATAAAGAAATCTATTTATTTCAGAAAAAATTATTTCGACAATAAATTTTATTTACATAGAAATTTATTTATTTATAAAATTGTCCGTGTTTATCAACCAAAAAATGGTGGTAACAGTGACAGTTGATAGTGATGAAAGTGGTGGTATTGTGTTGGAGGCTAATAGGAGTATTTTTATGTTTGAGAAGTATAGAAAAATTATTTTGTTTGTTGACGTTTTGTTTAAAAGTGATATTAAAATTTTAGTCTGATTTTTTGGTTTGTGTTTCCCAAAAATTTTTGGGAAAAATTCTCTACAAATAAGTTTTCAAAAGTAATCAAACCAAATAAATTTTTCTAAAAAAATTTCTCAAAACTTATTTGGTTTACAAGTTTTCCAAACAAATCTCTCTCTCATACACATCAAATCAATCACTTTTTCTAAAACTCTCTCTCAAAATAATTTTCCAAAACATCTTTTGAAAAAAACCAGACCAAACAACTTTTCATACTTTTTTTCTCTAAAACTCATCTCCCAAACTCAAACCAAACATACCCATAATCTATCATTTATTTGTTGATAGTCTATTTTATATTAACATTATCGTTTCATTGTTTTAATATTTTTTTTATTCAATATTTTCACTTGTAGTAGTTATAGTTACAATGACGATGGTACGTAGTGATGATGATGATATTTCACTATTTAAATGTTAAAATTTAACAGCAAAATTTATGTGAATCAGAATAAAATTTTGCTATTAACATTATTTTCAATGGTAAAAATTTTCATTTCCTTTTTCTTTTTCTTTTTAAAGAATATCATGGTCAACATAGATCTTATTTGATAGATTTTGATTAGAAAGTTCTATAAATACTAGTTTTATTAAAATACAATATCTAGATAAAAAATTATATTATTTTAAAATTTAAAATATTAAATTAGTCATTAAAAATATTTTGATAATAGTGTTGTGTGTTAGATTTTTCAATATATATATATATACATATATATATATATTGCTGTGATTGTCCTTAATGCATGAAAGTTCTATTATAAAGAAATTATGACCAAAATTCTCATAAAAGTTATGACATTTAAAATTTTTAAAGTAAAAATATGATAGACACTACCAATAATGGTTCATACAATAATTTCACTAAAAATTTATATTTATATTTTTTATTTTTAATTTGATAACTAATATTGATTTTTTTAATAAATCTCAACAACTAAATTTTAAAAATATAAATTTTATTGAAGATACATCAGTCTTGTTATCATTCTCCAAATCAATCAAACCATCAACAAAATCATCATCTCACTTTAGACTCAGACTACACTAACTCTTTATTTTGTTGGAAACAAGACAGTTTCTGTCACTTCTATTCCATAAAAGTATGAGAAGGTATTTGGTGGTCTTGGAGGCTAGAGCAGTGCCCTACAACATTTATCACTTATCACTGGACACCTGTTAATTTTTTTATCAGAAGACACGTGTTAATTTGTCTTCTCAAAATCTAACAAAATATAATAGATCTCACAATTTTAACTAATAAATATCATGTTCGGACACCACATGAATTTACCCATCAAATAATTTTCTGAAAAGTAGACTGTTGGAGCTTAAAACTTGCTACTCTCATCGTTTCCCTTCGATTAATGTTTCCCTGGGGGAGAGGGAGTTTAGGAAGCTGGGTTTCAAGTTCCTTTGGCGTCAGTTTTGGCCTTCCCTTCCCTTTTCCCCTTTTCTCTTCCTCTTCTACTTGTTTTGCCTCTTTTTGATTACTTTTACGCAGTGTTTAGTTGGAAAATTTGGAAAAAGATTTAAAAAGGGAAAGGAAAAAGATAGGAGATGTGAATAAAATATACATATGTTTGCCTTTTCAAATCCATTCACAAATCCATCAACCAAACACAACGTTAGGCAGATCTTTTTCTTCGCCCCTTCCCCTCTGTTTTGATATGGTTCTTTTGAACCCTCCATAGCAAGGCAATGGCAATAGGATATGTTTAAGTGGTGATGTTTGGTGCTCCAAGGGGAATTGCAGTGAAGAGCAACAATCTAATATTTTTCTTCTACTCTATTGTAGTTGTGAGTGATCTTTCTTTGTAGGTGGCTTCTTCTTGTTATTGCTACTCTGTTTATTTTCTTTATTATTCTAGCTACTGTTGTGGTTGTTTTGCTGTAGTTGTTTTTGTTGTGCTCTTGGGGTTTGTAGTTATGCCGAAAAAGGGGTTTCTTCGTAACTCTAAGCTGCCTGGAAAGTCTTTATCTAAGGACAAAGGTAAAGGTCTTGCGATGAACAGGGGTTTAAATCAAGACAACTTGAAAACTAGCTCACCATATGATATGTTTGCTTATTTGGATCCACTCGAAATTGCTTTAATCCAAGATACTTGATGATTTCAGCTTTGACTGGGAATTTGCTGTGAGGAATATTAAAGCAATGGATTTAGAGGTTTTGGTAGAAGATTCGCTAAAGGAAGACTCATCAATTGGGCAAAACAAGGCAAAAGCCATGTAATGTTGATCTTGGTGCGGAAGATAATGTTGGTGTAGATGGTTTCCAACATTTCTAAAACCTTTGTCAGAGAAATAAGGAACAAGAACTGATTTGGAATGGATGTTCCTACGCAAGGTATTGATCCATCTACAATTTGTAATGGTGGGATTGATAAGGGTCCAAAAATGGGTGCTCCTCTCAATAAGCCTCGAAGAGGTGATTACGGGCAGAAACTTCCTCTTCATTGATCATAACCTAAGCCATACTCTACAAGCTGAAGGTAAGTTTAGATTCCTCCGTTAAGTCTAGCTTATTGGTCGTCGAGGTCAAGAAAAAAGAGCTATCTCAGTCAGACATGGAAGTTGATCAGTTGAATATCCAAGAGGTTGATCAATAAGACATGCAAGTTGATCTATCGGAAGGCCACAACCTGACAGTTGAGTAACTTGTCACCCAAACAACCATGATTGACCCAACACCACAACACTTAGATGGGTTCTCATTGTCACAACAACATTCCCAAGGCACGAGTGACTGCGAAGAGCAGGTGCAAATCTAAATTTAGAGTCAAAGGTAATATTTCGCAGGGGAGGCTCTAAGCACATCCTAGCGCCTAGACACCACTCTAACGCTGTTTTTGGTTGGGAGATTTGGAGAAGGATTTGGAAAGAGAAAGGAAAAAGGTGTGTGAAACTAAGTGAAATATAGGTATGTTTTATTCACATTTTACCTACTTTTTCCATTTCTCTTTCCAAATCCCTCATCAAATTCCCCAACCAAACACAGCATAATGGTCTTCTAGGCAAGATTGGCATCGAATCCAATCATTCCCATGTCCACACTATGATAAGAGGAAGAGGGAGCCATGTATTGAAGATAGCTTCAGTGACTCAAGCTTTTTTAGATCTCCTCAACGTCAGGCTCTTCCACTTCATTAACCAGTTTTATGTGGTGTTGTTTTTATATGATTATGTGATTTTGGTTTCTATGCAGGAGTTTGATGTTTCACAAAAGTTGCAGTCCAGAAGTTTCTTCATTTTGGTTTTTTCATTTTTTTCTTCAGTCTGGTATCTTGTTGTATGTTGGAAGACAATGTTTATGTTTTTAACCTCCTCCTCCTTCAAAAAACAAAAAAAAAAAAGTGTAAATATGTGTGTTTGTATGTATATATACATATATATATATATTAATATATGGATACAAAGAACTTGGGGATTGAAAGGAGTCAAGATCCTCTACAGTAATTTTTCTACTGGACTTTGGTAGAACTAAATTTCAACCATCCAAAAAATCACTCTTAAGAACAGTCCACAAAAAATCACTCTAGAAGATCCCCCACTCACTCTCAAAGAAGTATGGGGTTCCTAAGGAAAATAGTGGGGGATATTAGCAGCACCCCAAACATAATATGGGCACATAATGTCCTCCCCTTCTTCCACCTGGACATTCTGCCACCATGAAATAGAAGAAAAAGCACCAACCTAGTTACTCCTTAAATGTTGCAATAAAGACCAAGAAAGTTTATTTCAGCACAAAACATTTCAGAAGTAACATAAATTAATAAGCATGGTGTAAGTTCCATCTGAAATTAATATAACAATGACATGTTTTCAACTGCACAACAACGTCATGTCCATTGGCATAATAGATGCAGATAGCAATCACACTTTTATAAAGGAGGAAGAATCTACCAGACTGATTTATTCAGCACTTGGATTGTAGTCGCAATGTAAAGGCCTGCAAGGATAAAAGAACTTCTTTCAACCTCTCTTTGGTTGCCATATCAATCAAGTTACCATCACTATCAAACTTCGAAGGAGCTTGGAAGGCATTCAGGAAAAATTCAGGCTTGTTAATGAAATGAAGATCAATGTAGACTCCAATTTGACGGAGATGGTACTGTGATCGTCCCCCTCCAAAACCGCCTCCCGCACTCACAATAGCAGCAGCCTTGTCAGCCCAAACATTTGGTGGTCTAGATGCCCAATCGATTGCATTTTTCAAAGGTGCTAGTACAATAGCCAAAAATAGAAATGCAATAAAGCATATGCCATGTACTGATGGAGCATTTTGAAAGTCATTATGTTATACTATCTTCAAAATTAAACTCTTAATTCAGCTGCAGACTACTGTCATGCAGTTCTTTGAGCAAATAACCATAAATTGAACTATGCCAAGTATGTTAGGAGGTGTCTTACATGTGGGGCTAAAACAGTTTTGTTGGCAATAACCATAGGTTCAAGAATATTCTAGGAATTTCTCAGGATCTTGTAACTAAGGATAAGTTCTTTAATCACCACTACAAGAGGAGCAGCAATGAAGAAAAAGCATTAAGGTCTAGAGACATTATCATGAAATGGCTTTGGACTTGAAAGAACATACATTTTCCAAAATCTTTTTTTATCATAACCCTTGCTGCTAAAGAAAAAGGGTACAACAATTTATCACCATTCTAAGATCATTCTAAATTGTTCATTACATTTATTTTTTTTAAGTCCAAAAACGTACATTTTGGAGAAACATGATCTACAGAATCAAAAATTTGACAGAAGGGTATATTCATGTTTGATGGTACAAGTCTCCTTTATTTTACCTGGTCTTACATTTTAATTTTCTGAGTCTTTATGGTGGTTGTTGAAACTTCTCATGAACTATCCCAAGATCTACAGAATCATAAATTTGACATAAGGGTATATTCATATTTGATGGTACAAGTCTCCTTTATTTTGCCAGGTCTAACGTTTTAATTTTCTGAGTCTTTATGGTGGTTGTTGAAACTTCTCATGAAATATATTTTACAAACTATATCACATCTAGGTTAATAATATAGGAATTTTTTTCCTTTAGAAATTCAGATGGAAGTTGCATCCATTTCTTTTGTACAAGAAAAGTGTATGCACTACTGTACAAGTCACTACTTGAAGCTGCCAAACTTTTTAAATATACAATTTCCCTTATTTATCAAAAAAAAATATATATATATATACAATTTCCCTTGCAACAAACAGAGAAAGCATAAATTTTTCAAGGATATAGTGACTGAAATTAGGGCCAACTTGATGATTGAACGAGACTTAAATTTTATCTGCAGTTAACATCATGGGTAGCAGTAATAAGCCTAACCCAGAAAATATAGCTCACTCTAAATTAACATCAAGAAGGCCTTTTTTCTATTTGTTTTACTAATTTTATTTGTTTCTTCTGACCCAAACAGTGGTCCCATTTCAATATGATTAAAGCATTCCAAAGAACAAATTAATGAACTCATAGAATAATTATAAAGTTGATGCATATGACATGGTTTTCATTCACAAATTGATCTTTTCTCTACATTTTTTTTATTATTCATTTTTTCGTTTGTTTTGTGGCTTGCATTAAACTTTATGAGAATCACAACCTTTTTGACAATCCAATTCTTTTAAATTTACAATTCTCCATCCAAATTTCATTGGATTCCAAACAAAATTGCTTTTTCTTTTGGGTGCTCAGCTACAAAAGAAGAAGAAAATGATCCAATTCCTTTTAAATTTACAATTCTCCATCCAAATTTCATTGGATTCCAAACAAAATTGCTTTTTCTTTTTGGTGCTCAGCTACAAAAGAAGAAGAACATGAGCCGCTTGTTGGGTTTTTGCTCCACATGAGGAGTGGTGTACGCGGAACAGGAAGTCATGTAAGGCGGCAACAAATTCGGCAGAGTGCAGCACACGAGGAAGTGCCAGATCTGGTGCAGCAAATCTGGCCATGATTTGCGGCCCAATTTGATCTCCGCTAACATAAAGCAGGTGACACTTGTCCTAGCTGTACTTATTCCAAATTCCAAGCTGATAATTTAAAAATATCACCAAACAGTTTTTGAGAGACAGTTTATTTCTTGGACCTAGACTCTTGGGTTGTGAGAGTTTATTTGGTAGAGTTCAAGTCTTATTGGGTACTTCCTGTTGTCTCTTCGAGCTACAGATCCACTGTATATCGTTTACTTTTAGCAATATATCGCTCACTCGTAAAATATATATTTCTTTCTTTTTGGGTGGTGTTAATGCCACGAACAGAATTGTTGGGCACACTATTTTAAAACTTAATCCTCAAAAGAAAAGATTGGCATCACAAGTTTTGGGGTCCTTCTCTTTTCCTCCTTTTCATCTTCTCCTTTGTCATGGCCTACAGCTTCCTACACAGCATTTTCTACGATCATGACTAGTTTGTGATTTTCTTGATCCTTGATCACTGGCATGCCTTCCGACAATGAAGTCAAATCTGCCACTACGATCATTTTCATATGACCAGCTTGCTTCCAACTTCTTAATCCGGAACCAGATATATTACTACAAAACACATCACTCACGACAACCACCACAACCTCCTCCAATCATTTTTTGGCCTTTGATTGAAAGTCTAACTCCATCCATCTGTCCCCACCATATTTCTTGCCACCTCGTCAGCTACGAAAGTTCCGTCCACAACTCCACTCTCGTAGTACTATCTATCTGATGTTCACCATAAACAACCCCCAAATTCCCAAACCCCACAACAAAGTAACAAGAGAACATAAATATATAGAAAAGGGGAAAAATATAGAGTGAAAGAAACAAGAGTAGATAAAAAATTAAGCGACAGCAGCAAACATCTATGTCAGAATGCAGATGCAGACTGAGACAAATATGGAAGAACAAGAGATGCATCTGCACCTGCAAATCAACAAAAGAACATGGGTTGCTGTGGAGCTGCTGTAGAATAGAGCAATGTGGAAGAGAAGAATAATGACGGCCACAGAGAGAGGGAGAGAGAAAGGAACGCAAAGCAAAGCAGTGTTATCATGGTGCAGAAGAGTGTGAGCAAAAAGTGTTTATTAATAGTTTTTTCCTTTCAATTCCAAGGCTATTAATATTAGGGTAAATAAAAATATACCTCCTTAACCTATAACCCGTTTGCACTTTGTCCTTCTAAACTTCATAACTCAACTGTTAACCTCCTTAAAGTATTATCTTCTTACACTTCAGCCCTTCCGTTAGGATTTTGTTAGGAATTGAAATGAAATCAGGTCATATATGAATCACACGACACACTTGTTGAACTTTTACACCTCATTTGGATTGAGTGATTTGGAGAGGAAAAAAAAAGAAATAGAAATCAATCACTCGTAATCCTAATAACTTGCTTGGATTACTAAGAAGAAGAGAAATGAGGAGAAATGGAGAGAAATATTTATCTCATAACTCACTTCTTGAATCTCTCCAAGGAGAGAAAGGAAATGGAAAGATTATTAATTTTGTATATTACCAAAATTACCCATCTACCTACATAAGAAATACCAACATAAAGGTTATTTTGCTAAAATAATCTATAAGAATTTCTTTTCTTTTCTTTCCAACTTAACCAAACAAGAGGGAGATGAATCACAATCATTTCTTTTCTTTTTCTTTCCTAGCTTAACAAATCATTTATTTTCTTTTCTCTGCTAAATATCCAAGCATAGTAATAATGTCCTTAACTACTAAGATAAGAGGGACACATTGCAAATGGGATCACTAAATAAGGTCATTATTATCTTAAAAATTCAACAAGTGTGTCATTGCATCACACATTATTTGATTCAATTTAAATCCCAAATAGAATCCTAATAGAACGAGTTAAGTATAACTAGATAATACTTTTTGGTTGTTAATTATTGGATTTTGAACTTCAGGGAGACGGTGCAAACAGGTCAGGCCCTTGTTCAAAGCAACAATTTCTTCTTCTTCAAAATTGTCTGTAGTGACCATGTCCATAAGCACAGTAACCAGTACCTGTGATGAATCCTCTTTGCCAAAAACCCAAATTATTCATGAAAATTTCAGAGCAAAATGAAATGATTGTATACAACTATGGCCCTGTTTGGGAAGTGGATTTCTGGCCTTTTCAGGCTAAAACTCACAAAAAGACAAAATAAACTAAAATAACCAATAAGACAAAATATCATATCAAATTCATAATCATTTCACTTTTTCTTTTACAAACATCACATCCAACTAAAAAAAAACCAACCACCTTCCAAATACAAAAATTTTAACCTACTAAAATAACCAAAAACTAAAGAGTGTATTAAAATAGCTAACTTTCCAAATGAGGCCTATATATATACATAGAGAGAGCAAACCTAAACTAAAATGCAAAACAAATTATATAATATTAATGGAGAATTGTATTATGCACACCCTATACTATATGACCAATTTTCTTCTTTGACATTATTTTGAGATCTTTAATTTTGATTTTGGTTATGACATTTTTTTTAATTATGCCTCAAAAAATATATTCTGCATACTTTGCCGGTGTGTACCATAATCTTTCTCAACATAATATATATTCAAAAAAAAAAATAGGGAAGAAGAAATAAGTGACAGAGTAATTGTACTCAGGGGAAGCAAAAAGGACGCTGTCAACTTCACGAATCTTCTGCCGGAAGGCCTCAACGACCGGTGGAAACGTTCCGTTGATCTCGAGATCAGTATTGAGCATTGGTAGTGGCGCTATCTCGATGTACTCAATCTTGATACCGTTTATGGACTCGTTGCATATCTGAATCGCTACACCACCAAATAAATAATACCCAAGTTCCCAATTCAATTCAATGTAAAACACACACTCACAGTGACACGCGAGAGAGAGTATGGACAAAATACACCATATGTGTCGTTTTTATTTGTACATTACCTGAACGGAGGAGGCCTCGATTGAAGGATCCTTTACGGAGAGAACCGCAGAGAGCTGCAACTGTTATCACTGGTTTTGCTGCCACTACTGCTTCCATTCTCTCTCCTTCCCCTCTCTCCCTCTCTCTCGCTCTATCTCTAAAGCTCTCCTTCCTTGTATGTATGCATAGGTAAAGCCTGAGGGCTGTTCAAAGATGCTCTCTTCTACAACTAAAAAAAGGAAAAGGAAAAAAAGAGAGACTAAGAACCGTTGGATTTTAATCACATCGAACGGTGGAGACTGTTGTCTAATATTGTCCTCCAATACGTGCTAAATTTGTGTTCAATTCGTAGCAAGCTAATAATTATATTAGCCGTACTCAAAGGGAATATTAGTCGCTCTCCGTACTCTTTTAATTCAAGTTTTGTGTTATTCTAAGTGACGTTGTCCAACTTGAGAATAAAATAACTGTAAGTTATCTTATGGGTGTTTTGTCGGAAAATCTTTTCGACGATCAAATTAGCACATTTTGAGAAGAAGATCGGGTCAAAAGAGAGATAGCTCTTATAGTAAGAATTCTAGACCTGTTACATGGAGGAACTGCACAGTTTATATAGTTTTTGCGCACACCACTCTACTCGTCCTTTCCTAGATACGTGGATGTACTATCCTCTCTTCATCTTACATGTGTGTATGCAATAATATTGCCAAACAACATTGACAAAATAATTTAACAATATTGACACGTACGGATGGTAGAATCTTCTCCTTAACTCCTGATTGGGCCACATGGCAATCTCTGCTGAGGTACCCTTAGCGCAGTGTTGCAATCCGCCCTTGGAACCGCACTATTTGCTCGATCCTATCAAGTGCCCATGATAATGTTTGACCGAACTCTTTAGCTCGGTCGCTCCCATGCTCAGTTGAGCCTAATTAAACAAGGACAAATCTCGTCCAACTAGAAAGCTCGATCAAGAACATAACCCCAATTCGATCGAGCTAGAACCTCAGCCTAACCCATTCCGGGCCGTTCTATCCCAAATACGCAATTGCCAAATCTGACCCAAGCTCAAATTAGCTCGGCCCATAGGTTCGGGCTAAAACCCCCTCTCAATTGCCCTTTAATCTGTTCTGCTCCATCATGAATCAGATTACCATAACTGGCCGAGCTAAGTAATCTGCCCAGCCGAAAAGGTTGCACAGTTCGAATCTGACGTCTCAAGGCACACATTACAAACCCATGTTACTGGGAGGTCGGTGCAAAATTCATGCTACCAAGAGTTCAATGTGCATCTCACGCTGCAAAGAGCTCGATGCGAATTCCATGCCAGAAACAACCCGGTCTAACCCATTGCTCTGACGCAATGTCTTCTCAGGGGGACACGTGTCATCATGCTATGATGATGGGCGCGATTCTCCACGAGGCCTTTCAAAATTTTGGCACCTCTTCATAGGTACAATACATGTACCATCTTTGTCTCTTCCACATTTCTCACCACTATTCACCGTCATCCCAGAGAGAATTCCAAGTAGAGCCAAAGCACCCAGCTTCTATTCTCCATATCTTGAGCTCAAATCAGAGCATTTCCATCGGGGACTCTTCTTTACTGGTGTCGTCAGAGCCTTCCTATCCGATTAGAACATCTCCAGAGGCTCTATCGTGGTGAGTCCATCTATTTTCCCAAACCCCCTAGTGTTGTTCTTTATGCCTTTGAGTTCTTTACCATATTTTTCATGAGTAAAAGATGAAAACGGAGCTTAAAACCACTAAAAAATGGAATAAACTTGGGTTTTCGGCCATTCCTAGCGTTGAATGGCCCTTACGGCGATTTTTCCTCATCCAATTCATCCTCTGGGATGAATACATGAAGAATTGGGTCCAACCAGGCTAAAAACCATAATTTTGTCCAACATTATAACTCAACCAAGCGAAGTTCGTTTTTGTCATTATTCGAAAAAGAAATCGAACTAGGAACTGTAGTAACTTAAGGCGGCCGCGCGACTGAGCTAAATTTTGTTTCGCTCTTGTGGCTAAGCTAAAACCCAACTAGGTATACAACCGAGCAACAATTCGGCTCACTGATGACCGAGCTAATACCTAGCTCCTATGAATGACCTAACTGTCGCTTGTACTCAAATTTGAATTTCCACTTATGCAGAATCCTAGGAGACCAAGCACACCAACATAAGCGCTCTCAAAAACCGAGCAATCGCTTCTTAATTTCGACGAGCACGCTCTGTTGACCAAATCACACAGGCCTACATGGAGCGATAACGCTTCCTGGTAAACACGCCAGGTGCCCTAGCCGAGTTCCACCAGGAGTATGGCATTCCTACCGACGTGCACTTTGAGCTCAACAAAAAGAGGGCAACCCCTTGGGGCAGTTTGGATCCCTACCACTTTACCGTGTTGTCTATTATTGAAGGAGGACTCTGCTTCCCGGTTCAACCATTGATGTGCGAGTTCTTAAGACACACCGGGCTGTGCCCCACCCAAGTCCCCCACCAATACCTTTCGCATAATAAACGGCGTCGCCGAGCTAAATTGTCAGCTCGGCTTGAACTTAGGCCTAGCTGAGATACTTCGCCAATACACGCTCGATCATACCAGCTACGATTTTAATTGGTATCTTAAAGTGAGACTAGGCAGAGAGCGCTTAGAGACCGGTACTCCAGATAAAGATCTTCATGACGACAACTTTTTATAGGTATTTGGTAACTACGAGACTACTGATGTGCCCAGCTGGTACATTAGCAAAGGGAAAGGTTCAATAAGTAAGCCAGCTTAACTAATTGTTCAATTTCTCTTGCTCATGTTCTGCCAAGCTAACAAGCTTCTTTTTTCAGGTGTCACCGAGATCCAAGTGCTATATTCATGCACTGACGAAGAGGTTGTAAGAGCCGTGCTACAATATAAAAACTGTAGTTGCAACGACCTGCTCAGTTACGTGCCAAGCTATAGATATTCGGCCAAAAAAAAGAGCAAGGTTACAGATTTCTTATCTAAGCCTTCCCCCCTCTATATCCAAGCCTTCCAAATGTCCCTTTTATTCGCCTAACTAAGGAAGAAAACATGGCCAAAAGAAACAGAATCAAGAATCTGATCACGGCTACCTCCCAGAAAATACCAAGCAACATCCTTCCACCTGCCCCAATAGTTGGTCAAGGTTCAGCAACCATGCTGACCTTTCCCTCTGCCACCCAACCATTTGGTACATAATCTTGCAGGGCTAGAAAAAGGGCTCGCTCGGCCGATCCTTCGATTAAGCTAAAGGTCGAGCTCAACGCCAAGCATGTCGCCACCGAGGTCGAGCCAGCTCCTACTTGGCAGCCGAAATTGAAGTCCCGGGAAAAGCTCATCTCGGCGATGCTTCTGTCAAGGGGGACAAGGAGCATCTTTTTTATTTTGACCTTTCCCAGTCCCTACTTCTGCCATAAGACATGGTCGAGACCGAGCACATGCCGAACACTCAGATGATCAAGTCCGCGATGAAATCCATGAGAAGGGTAAGCTTTTTAATAAAAATGTCTAACTGTTTGCTCGGTCTTGCTTTCTAACCCTTTCTTTTTGTAGGCAATTTAGAAGACCCACATTGTCATGGACCGGGTTGTGACCCTGCGCCATAAAGTAGCTGAAGTCACCGCATGGGACAAGTATCTTGAGACCGAGCTAGCACAGGCCAAAGCTTCTTTGGAGTTGGCCAACGCAGAGAACGCCCGGCTCGTCGATCAACTTTCCATCGCCGAGCAAGAGAGAGATGCGGTGCGGGCTGAGCTGGAGGCATTGAAAATGGAAAAGTTTGAGGCTGTGAATGAGGCTGAAGACCAAGGCTTCAAGGATGCCGAAGAAAGCTACACCAAGCAAGTTGAGGTGACCAAAGACATCTTTTTCCAATCTGGCTGGAAGGCCGCTTACGAGAAGCTTGATCATGGTCCTTCGACCGAGGTGTTTACCGCTCCTTCCCCTTACTTCCTGTTGAGCTACATGGTTTTATACATTGAGAACGTCTTCAACGCTCTGCAAGAAGAGGAGGTCGAGGAGGAGATGGAGGTCCTTGCTTCTGATCTCAGCATTGAATTAGACGATATTGTAACTGAGCATAAGGGAGCTGCTTCGACCGAGCAAGAGAGAGTTGCTGCAACTAGGCAAGAGAAAGCTCCCGATGACGACTTTGTAGACAATTTATCCCCCATTGTTTGACTTTTTTTTTTAAGGGGGGAACATTGTAATCGGGCTCTCTATCCCACCTTTTGTACTTGAATTTCTAAATCAATGAAATTTGTTAACTTTTTTTCATCTGTGATTGTATATAATGCATGTTATTCTTTGAGCTGTGTAGCATCATCGCGGCATTAAACAAAACATAAACAAGTTTAGCTGAGCAAAATCAGCTCGGCAAAGAGCCTTAAGGCGAACAAAATAGTAACCCGTTTTGCTGAGCAAAATCAGCTCGGTAAAGCACTTTAGAGTCGACTAAAGCATTAACTCATTTGGCTGAGCATAATCAGCTCAGCAAAGAGCACTAAGTTGAACAAAACATCAACTTATTTGGCAACAAAAATCACCTCGGCAAGAATCTTGGAGTTGAGCAAAACATTAATTCAATTTGCTGAGCAAAATCACCTCGGCAAGAATCTTGGAGTTGGACAAAACATCAACTCATTTTGCCGAAAAAAATTATCTCAGCAAGAATCTTGGAGTTAAACAAAACATCAACTCATTTTGCGGAGCAAAACTAGCTCGATAGCTTGTTGTCCCTTGTCAATGGAAATCCATCAGAAAATTAAAGGAAGTATAACAATTTTTCAAGTGATATGAACCTTTATTTCCATTACATACAAATTTTTAGCAAGATTGAAAAATATATATCACAGAATGGAGGGGTTATATTGAAAGCAAGGTTAAAAGTAAAACAACTTTAAATTTTCCGTGTTCCCACGCCCGAGTATGACTTTGATGTCTAAATCCTCCAGATAGTATGCCCTTTTTCTTGCTAAACTGGTTATCTTGTAAGGTCTTTCCCAATTTGGCTCCGATTTTCCTTTGCCTAGAATTAAGGTGTTACCCATCACCTTTCGCAAGACCCAATCCCCAATTTTGAATTGTCTGGGATGAACTGTTTTGTTATACTTCTTGGACAGTTCTTGTTAGTATGTTACGGCGTGATTCAGCATCTTTTCTCTTCGCTGTTTTGTGAGGTCTAACTCCAGAGCGATTGCTTCTTCGTTTAAGTCCGGCTCAAAATTTTTACTTCGGATGGTGGGCATGCCAATCTCCAGTGGGATTTTGCAAATTGAGAATTTTCACAATTTCATAAAAATAAAAATAAAATAATTATCTATTGAAAATTTAAATAAAAAAATAAAAGATCTTTCTTCCATTTTATCAAGCATGTATTTGTAACATAAGTTGGGAAAATTGGCCATAATCCCTCACACTAGCAACTTCCTTCCAAAAAAGTTTTAAATCTTGGGAAAATTGCATTTCAGCGGAGTAATGAGAAAAAAAATTACATTTTTATGATAGTGCAAGTATATTTAAGGTTTTCTTTTTAAAAAAATAAAAATAAAAAAAAAAAAAAAATAATAATTCGATGGAACTAATGAACTGATCCAAATTGCCTGTTTGGTCTGGGATTTTTTTTTTTAATTATAGTTCTAGTTCTAGTTCTGAAAATGGTGAAATCGTTTAAATCAGTAAGGTTCTCGTTTTCAAGGATTTGGTTATGGTTCCAAACTGAACCGGACCGTGAATATTTGTTTATTAGTTTTTGTACAAAAAAATTAAAATATGAAATGTTTCTTATAAGATTTGAATACTAGCCATTAATGTAAAATTAATAAGCCCTAACCAATTTAAACAAACTAATTATTCTTAATTTGTTTACTAATATAAAATACATATCATATTTATTGTTAAATAAAATTTCTAAAATTGTAAACCGAACCGAACCAAGCCAGTTTCTATGGTTCAATTTTGGTCTTATTTCACAAGTTGACAGTTCGGTTATGGTTCTAATTTTTCTGAATTGTAAAAAACGGTTTGATTCTTGATTTACTCTAAAATTGGACCAATCTGATTTGTGTACACTTTTAAGTATACTGTGTGCATGATGCAAATTCATTCTCGTGCTTGGTGCAACTCTTCCTGTGTGTTAGAGTTGCACACACACACAAAAAAAAAAAAAAAATTATTTACAATATAATAAAAAAAAAAAAACTATTTGTAGTACAATTTTTTTCTACTGCTCCATGTGTTTTCAATTTTTCATTAAATATTTAATACAATAAGCCCCTCAATTGATATTTTTGGCTCAAGAAGTCCATATTTGACAAGGAAATATTTTTATAGATGATTTTACCCTCCTTTTAACTAGACTCTCTAAAAATCTCTCATTAGACTCCATTTGATCAGTAAGAAAATTAGTAGAAAGTTTGTGAAAGAAAATGAAGTGAAAGAAAAGAAATAGAAATGAAAATATATTTTTTTACAAACATTTGATTAAAATGAAAATTTTGTAAGAAAAAGTTAGAAAAATTTAAAGTTCAGTTATAAATAATTCACACATTCAATTTTTCTTGTGTTTTCTTGTATTTTTTACAAGAACTTAAAAATTAGTTACAACATTAATATGCGTTATACACACACAAAAAAATAGTTTTCTTCTACTTTCTATGCAAAAATGCATATGCATTTTCTAAACATAACACTAACAAACAAGGGAGAGAGAGGGAGAATTAGTTGTGCATCTTCCAAATGTAGCACAAACCAACCCTATAAATAGCCACCTCCACCACCACCTAGCACTACAACACAAGGCACCAGGCGGGATCGTGTAACTATTTTCTCTCACTCTTAGAGCTTTTTACATACCCACTTTTTAATCACCATGGAGATGAAGAAGGTCGCTTGCGCAACCCTTGTTGCTACCACCTCCATGAGCGCAGCCTTGGCTGCCGGGTCTCCGGCTCCTGCACCAACCAGCGACGCAACCGCTACCTTGCCCGTTGTCGGTTCTCTCATCGGGGCCTCAATTGTGTCCTCCTTTGCCTTCTACATGCACTAAGGCCTCGTTTGGCAAGTTACTTTTTTAGCCAAAAAGTCAAGAAATTACTAAAAAAATCAAAAAGCCAACAACCTATACCAAAAAGTCAAATATTCACTTTTCTCTCTACTTTTTACACATCTTTTCATAAAAAGTCAAAAAGTCGTCCCAAACATACTAATTTTTTTTACATCACATTTTAGTCAAAAAGTCAAAAAATTACTAAAAAAGCATGTTTCCAAACGAGGCCTTACAAATGGAAAGATGATGATGAAGAAGAAAGGGAAGAGAAGCTTCAAAAGATCATTGAGTTTTAAAGATTTTCCCATATTTGTTTTATTTCTTTTGGGGATACTCTTTCCTCATTTCTTTGAATGTAAGCCTATGCGTTTTTAATTCAATAAAAGAGCAAATTTAGTTATACTTACACCCATGGTTCTTGTTAGACTTATTCATTTTGATGATTTATTTAATTATGTTTTGATTTGATTGGAAGAGAAAAATATAATCAAAATTTATTTTGATGATTTATTTAAAAGAAAAAAATAGAATCAACATTTATTTTGATGATTTTATGTTTTAATAAAATCAAATTTTATTTTCTCCCATTATTTCTCACCTAAACCTTTATCTTAAATGTTGTTAGAATGTATTTAATATTTGATTAAATCAGGAGTTCAAATAGCCCAAAAACAAAGGTTCAAATAGCCCAGCACAGTTGTAGTTCAAAAGGTTCAAAATGTTCAAGCGGAAGATATTCAAATTTGTAATAATGGAGTGGAAGATATTCAAATTAGTAATGATGGAGTACAACAGCTATAAATGGCTATAGATTCAAATGACTACAACGGCTATAAACGGCTATAGATTCAAATGACTACAACGGCTATAAACGGCTATAATTTTCATTACATATACCAAAGCCTCTAATGTAAACAAGTTACAAAAACCTGAAAATATTCTTTGATCTATAATCACTCACATCTATTCTCAGAAATTACACACTGAGACTTATAGCTTTAAGCCCATATTTCCTGTGTAAGGTTTACAGAAAAATCAGAGCTTTATTTTTATATCTATCTTTGAGAGATAATTTGTGATACCCCTGTCCCGTAATATGCTAATTGGTCCTTAATTTGAGTATGATTATGTGTTTAGCATGATTTTATGTGCCATTATGTGAATGTTTGTGATTTTGAAGTCTTATCTGTTCACTGTAGGAATACCTGTCTGAATAATCTGTTTTGGAAATTAAATTGAGGGCCTTATCGGCCACAGAACCCGAAATTGATTACGCCATCGTGATTGGCTTAATTTTTAGAACCTACGGTGAAATTTAATTAGAAATTGATTCGGGTTAGATTAAATCGATTAAATTGATGAATAATGCCAAATTACTTTATTATTATTATTTATATTGTGAGTGGGGATTTATGTAAAGGCATGCTACACTCAATTCCCTTCCTTTAACTTCAATTGGCTGATCAACTCTCTAGAGAGAGGCAAGGCCGGCTGTTAGAGTGAGAGATGAGAGAATTGTGCAAATTTGGCCTAGAGCTTGGGAATCTTGGAGACTTAGCTCAAGAATTGACTAGAGCTTAGGAGATCAAAGCTCTAGGTGGGTAATTCTTGGAGTATAGTTTGTTATTTTGTGTGTTCAAGCTAATTTGGTGATCAAGAGTAAGGTTAAAATGAAATTGTGTTGGGATTGTTGAATTGAAGCTTAATATGTGCATGCATGTAGGAAATCACCTTGATATTGCATGTTTGAGCACAAATGTGTATAATCCATGTGAAATGTTAAAGGAAACTCATGTCTTGATCACCATTTGTGTTACCTAAGTTGAGAGTGTGGCTAATTCATCACATGCATGTACAATTTGAGAAGATATGAGCTTGGATGCATGAGTTTGTTATGTTGGTGTTGAGTTTGACATATTTTGGGACATGCATGTAGATAAATCATGAAATTGAGCTTCCTGGTGTTGTAATCTTGTATTAGTAGCATGTTAGCATGTGTAAATGTGTAATTTGAGCCATTGCATGCAAGTAATGTAGCTGGAAAACCGATTTGGAGCTCAAGAACACAATCTGGGAAACCCAGAATTTTGAAGTCCGTTCGAGCGGGGTAATGGCCGCTCGAGCGGGAAATACGTGCTCCCAGTATTTTTTTTCTCTGCAGACCTTGATGTCCGCTCGAGCGGGTAATTCCACGCTCGAGCGGGGAGCTATGTAGGATGGACTTCCGCTCGAGCGTCCGAGGTCACACTCGAGCGTAAAAATGATACATCCAGAACTTTTTGCAGACATGGCTTACGCTCGAGCGAGGAATTTCACGCTTGAGCGGGGAGCCATGTAAAGAGGCCTTATGCTCGAGCGCCGGATTGAACGCTCGAGCGTAAATTTCCCATATCCAGTACTTTTGCAGGCCTCAGGGGTCCGCTCGAGCGGGGACCCTATTTTCTGAAATTTTGTTCATGCATTCTATGATTCGTTTTCCATTCTCTTTCACTTGTAAGCACTTTTAGGCATATGTTAAGCATTGTAAATGAGTTAATGAGATAAGAACAAAGCTTGAAGAAGAATATGTGAATTAAGGAACGGATTGAATTGTTAGTGACCCTTTTGTGTTCATGAAATGTGTAGGGTCAAGCTCCAAGGCAAATCCACAAGCCGATCACTGTGAGTAATATCAATATTTGAAAGCTTGTCAATGTCCAATTGTTTATTCCCTTATAAACTTTATGAATTGTTAATTGAGATTGTGGACAAAAGTCTGACATGAATGAATGAATGGACCGAAGGTCGTTTTGATGTAAATGAACGGATCGAAGGTCGTTTTGACCTATATGAATGGACCGAAGGTCGTTCTGATACGAATGAGCGGGCCGAAGGCCGTTTTGACACAAATGTATGGGCCAAAGGCCGTTTGACGTAAATGAATGGACCAAAGGCCATTTTGACGTAAATGAATGGGCCAAAGGCCATTTTGACAGAAATGAATGGGCCGAAGGCCATTTTGACAGAAATGAATGGGCCGAATGCCGTTTTGACAGAAATGAGTGGGCCGAAGGCCGTTTTGACCGGAATGGAAACCTGAATGGGCCAAAGGCCAGTATGTTGGAACTACAGTCACTTGATCTAGATTTTGTATAGGTATATATATATATATATATGTTAAGTAGAAATGTGAATTGGGCCCAAGGCCGTTTGGAATATGTTGTTCTACATTGTTATGTAATTTCTGTATTTGATATTATTCACTGGGCTGTTGCTCACGCTCATTCATGTGTTTGTAGGTGAGCCAAGAGAAGTCCAAACCCAGCCCCAGTGAAGTTTGCCAGAAACAACATGAGTTTAGGAGAGTCAGCCTTGTGTCTCACGCACGAGACCCATCCTTGCCATTTTGCTATGTATTTATATCTTGTCTTGTTGGCTAGGACTTTATGGATATCTGTATATAGTTTGATATGGGTTGACTCAGTTTGGATGATCCTGTCTGTAAAGGATTTTATGGTACTATATTTTGTCGTGGGTTATTAACATATATGTGTATAGTTTGTTTGATGTGCATATAAGCACGGCTCTATGGACAAAGTTTAAATTTTTGCTTTCGTTTGGCTCCTTTACTCTGATGAGTTAATCTATTTTGGTTTGAGGCCATAGGTAATCTCAGGATTACTGGCCGATTATGTCCTTAACCCATACGGGCGGGTTCGGGTCATGACAGAGTGGTATCAGAGCACGAATTAATAACTCACACACTTGTCCAATAGGAGCAATAAGCATCTAGATAAGATCTAGGATGCATTCATGTGATAAATATGACTTTGGAAACATTGATTATATGCTTAAATGTTTTGATATGAACAATTATAGGTTATGAGTTGTGAATTACTTGCATTACAAACTACCTGAAAATGTATGCTCCTTGTTACATACATATGTGTGTATCTTTTGTATAAAATATAATGCAAGTTTAATCAGATGGTGAGAACCAGAGGAGATGAAATAGAAGAATCCTCAACTGCCAGAATGGACAGGATGGAAAGACTGATACAGGAAATGGCAGAAGCTTTGAGACAGCAACAGGAGTGGCAACAACAGTGGCAGCAACCACACCCGCCACCTCCACCTCCTGCACCACCTGTGCCAGACCATCAGAATGATAACCGGATTATAGCTCTCACTAAGGAATTCAAGAAAATGAAACCACCATAGTTTCACGGGGGATTAGATCCGTTGAAAGCCGAAGCATGGGTCCTCGGCAATGAGAAATTATTCGAAGTGTTCCCCTGTTCAAAGACTCAAAAAGTGCTTCTAGCCACTTTTATGCTAGAAGTCGAGGCAAGAAGATGGTGGATGTTGATGCGAGAAAATCATAGGGATGTTGACTGGGTAAAGTTTCTAGAAATATTCTATGACAAGTACTTCCCGCAGTGTGTCCGGGATAGGAAAGTGGCAGAATTCATGGAACTCAAGCAAGACAGCATGACTATAGCTGAGTATGAGGCCAAATTCACTGAATTGGCCAGGTTTGCACCAAATGTAATTGACACGGACTATAAGAAGGCAAGACATTTTGAAGGTGGGCTCCGCAATGACATCCTAGAAAGGGTGAATGTCCTGAAATTGGAAACCTATATTGGGGTGCTTGACAGAGCCATCATATCAGAGGCTAACATAGCCAGACAAGCTAAGCCAGTAACAGAATGGAAAGGCAACAAAAGACAAGGCTTCTTTTCGAAGAGGAAATTTCTGAAAAAGCAAAACACAGGCTCCTCAAATACTTCGAGTTCTTCCCGAGACACAACTCCCATGTGCAATATTTGTAGCAAAAGGCACCGTGGAGTCTGTTACCGTGCATCAGGAGCCTATTTTAAATGTGAGAAGCAAGGGCACATAGCCCGAGAATGTAATCAGAACAGTGGGAAACTAGCAGCTAGTTCCACTGCATCGATCCCAAAGCCGGGCAACACTTTGAAATCTGCTACTACTAGGGATACAGTGAGACAGGGGAG